TTTCCTTTTTTAAATTTCCTCATAGTAAATAGAACCCTTACACTTCTCACTTGTGGCTTTCTCTTTTTGAAAACAGAAAGCCTTCAAGAGCCCTAGAGCTTTCACCTTCCCTGTACCAAGAACTCATCCATCCAAGTCTTGCCTACCTTTGAAATGGTGAACGCCACTCTCAGTTACTTCCCTTTCCATACATTCTGTGCTCATAATGTTGCTTTACAGTATTGGTTCTTTGGCTTGAATGACCCCTCAAATGAAAATCAGTTCGGAATTTGCCATGTCATCCATCTTCCCACCTTTACCATGATTCTTGCCCAGTGCCCCTGAGCAGTATATCACGCCTGTCGCTGGAGGGTTCCCTTTTCTTTCCTCTTTAGTGATGATTATGAGGTTTGTCTTCATCACCATATTTGAAACTTCAACATCTAAATGAGTTTCTCTTCAAAGTACTTACCTCGATGAGAACGTGTTCAAAATCTTCAACAAGTCATCCCTGGAAGTCATGAAGTGTAATCCCAGATTTAAGTGGAATTCTCCCATCATTCAGACCTGGAGCCTGCCCTCCACACTTGCTGCTCCTGGGTCACTGTTCACAGCTCCCACGGCTTCTGTAATTTGGAGCTGCACCCAAATCCCTTGCCATTTAGAACACTTCGAAGGGAGTTAAAATTTCTGCCTGTGCCATGAGTCCCGGAGAGAAGAGATGTGCTGCATGCAAAGTGTGAGCTCCAGGGTCCTATTTTCATCTCATTGATGGAACCACCACGAGCAAGTTCATACCCCACCTTCAAGTCACATGGCTAAGTCTGTCTTTATTACATAGAGGGGGTGCACACCCTCACAACTCCTCGAGACCAGGCATTAGAACCCTTGGGATTGCTCTTTCTAATTCATGCACTCACCTTTAGCCCTTACACTAGGCAAAGCGGACAAAGATACTGTTTAAAGAGTAGGTAGGTCTCGTCCTCAATTCCCATTCTCCCATATCTTTTCTTTTTAAAAATCTTTTGCATCTATATCCTGCAGTGACATCTTAGATTCATTTGCCTCCTGCAAGATGTCCCCTCTTCCACCAGCTGTGTTTCATTCTGCCTGTTGTTGGTTCTACCCGTCTCCCATTCTGCCTACTCCCTCTCCTACCTGTCCACCTGCCTAGTACCCTGGGAGCCCAAGCAGCTTTAACACTTGAACACTGAGGGTGGTTCTAGGAGTTTCAGAGGCAAAAGCAGCCCAGGGCTTGAGGAGCAATGCAGAGCAGTAACCACATCTGCCTGGACAGGGTGGTCCATGGATGCGATTTTTGACGATAGGGGAGCCGGAAACACAGAACTCAGGGACAGGGAGAGTTGGTCCCTGCTGCCAGATGACATCTTTTTTCTCTCAGGACCATCTTCTAAAATATTAATATACTTTTAGTTTATAAAAATAATCTAGTTTTGTCCTCGAACCCCTGATGACTGTGTTTTTTCTTCTTTCTTTTCCTTGTTCCTTCTTTATGTTTATTTTCTTTTTTCTGCTGTATCCTTTATATTGCTGAACTATGGATATGTAATTATCTCCATGTTTGTTCCTCAAGCATTTTCTCATGTTATTAAAATAGTTCAGATTTGCATAGTTAATGTTTAATGTTTTAGTGGTTGCATAATATTTCATGATCACACTCTGGGAGGGTTGCCTGATGTAGCAAACAGCAGTACGGGGGACCTGGTTCAACCTGAGCTTTAGCTAAACGATAAATGGATGTGTTCGTGTATGGATGTCCCATGTAATATTTTCCATTGCAATATTTGGGACGTATTTTTGTTGTTGTTCATCTGAGATTGTGATTGAACTGGGCATCCTGTATTTTATCCCGCAATCCTATAAAACGTCGTATTCTTTAACACAGTCGCTTATCGTTCAACACAATGCAGATGTTTTCAGCAATGCGACGGACATCTTTAGGCATAAAATTTCATATTTTGAATTAACTTCCTTAGGTGGATTGTTAGCCATAGAATTACCAAGGAGATGAGTATTTTTTCCAAGACTTTTCAAAGCTATTGCCAAATTGCTTTTTAAAAAGGTTATAGCAATTTATGCTCCCACCAGCAGCGTGTAAGAGTGCTCATCCCCTGTCCCCTTGCTAACATTATCCTCACTTAAATACTCCTTTGCTATTTTGGCAGGCAAATAATGACATACCATTTTCATCTGTGATTACTAATGAAGTTCGCATTTTTTTGTTTATTAGGCATTTTGTGTCCTGATTTTTAAGTTTCCTGCAACTGTATCCTGACTTCTCTGCCCCTGCTTTGCATTGCTTTGAACTCTGAGGAATATGATGTTTATTTATTTCCTTGTTTTTCCTCTGGCACTATGCTCAGCCTGGTCCCCATGCTCAGGATTCAGGACAAGTTCTGCACAGTTACCACCAGCCTACCTGCCAACCCACCCATTGTTCAAAAGCAAAAGCTTCCTAGGACTTCTAAATGCATTTCATAGCAGGGTAATTTTCTTTAGAGCCTGCAGAATAAAAGTTTTCACAGTTCTCCCCATCGCTGCTTCTTGTGTATGGACTGGGTTCAAATATAGCTTCTGTAATGACCCACTGTGTCCGCCCCCAGAACCAGAACCACCCCCCCCCAGTGTGCTGTACAGAGGAGTTCTGCTCGGTTCGTGGGAGCAATAAAGCTTTATGGTCACCGCATCGCTTCCCTCTGGAAATATGGGCACCCCATGCATGGGGCTCCATTCCAAAGGGAAGGGGGAGCATTGCTATGGATTTCAACAGGCATGTTACCCCATTCCTATTGGGGTCCAAAGCTTCAGTGTAGTAAAGAGTAGTAAAATAGCAAGATTTGCTTCCTCTAAGAAAGAAAGTCTCAACAGCACACATGTTCTTGAACATTTCTGTAGGTGAAGTGAATAGCGCATTTGCACTCCCTGGTCTTTTGACCTCTAACTCAAGGTGGTGCCCTGCCTCTGTCTCCTTCCCTGGGAGTCCTCCTGATTAGTCCTCATCACTGTAAAATAAGAGGCCGCTGGCTTGCCTTCTCTGTGACATTCTCATCCCGCGCGATGTCTTCCCGATTGGCCATTTGCATGGTCCCAGGACTGGCTTTGTGGAGATTGCTACGTTCTCCTGACTTCTTCATTTTCTGCATCATGCCAGCTAGCCCAGCCTTGTTGCATGAAGTTTGCAGCATTATGTGGCAATCTGCTCCCTAAATTGAGTATCTCCATATCACCTTGTTTGAGTATCTGCCCCGATTCCTGTTGGGCTGCGTTTTCTCATCCGTGCCACTCAGCGTTCCCGCTCTTGGCATTCTCAAACCTGCTCTGGGGTCTTGCTTTTCTTTCTGTCGACTTGATATTTAAGCACCTAAATATACTGCATCTAGTTACACATAGCCGGCTTTGGGATTTTGGCGATTCTAATGTGGAAGCCCCCATTTTTAAACTGTTCTGACCTGCTGAAAATTAACTTGAGCCACTGCCAGGTGTGTCTTGGTCGATACAGGCCTCTTGCTCCAGAAAACTCCTGCTCTCCTGAGGAGCCCCGGCCACAGAAGGTTACCTCAGGGAGGGGACTGGGGCGCCATCTGTGGTGGCCTTTTCTCAACTTCCTGCAACTTTCTCTGAAGCCTGCAGGAAATGAGTCTCCACCTCCCGTTGGCCATCAGCAGCGGCCTCAGATTTCTCAGAAAAAAGAATTAAAATGCACATCTGGACAAGGGGAAAGACTCAGCTACTAGGCGCCCACCTTGCAGCCCTGCGTTCACTCCCAGTTTTTGTGGCTTACTCATTGAGGGGAAGCACTCAGCCTCTGCCTCACGGCCTGCAAAATGGGACAAGAAGAGAATCAGTGGTGGGGTTGAATGGGGCCTCAGCACTGCACTCCACCCATGGTGGTCGATCAACATGTAGTATTACGAAGACCCTCATCCGAAAGCTTGCATCTCATCAAGAGTAGAGATACAAAGGCAGCTTCTTCTGAGCTCCTGGGGATGCCAGATATTTACATATTTCAGAAGTTCATATTCATAGACATTGTACCATTTTACAAATCATTCCTCCAGCGGAAAAACAGCATTCTTTAACTCTTCCTCCGAATACCAACTTGGAATCCAAATCTGGGCAATTATCATCATTCACAAATAATCTACATTTCTGTGCAGGCGGAACGTACCATATTGTCATTCTTGTATTTGCTCAATCTGCATAATGCACCCTTTGAGGACTCATTTGGAAGCACACATGTATACTAGAGAAATCAAATGGATTGGGAGAAATATTGGACTGTGACATTTTGCTGTCGAGTGTGTGTTCCAGATTAATGCAGAGGCCATGGAGGTATCAAATACGCTGCTTGAAAGAGTGGGGTCCATAACTGTATGCGATTTGGGAACACACTGAAGAGGGTAAAACTGGGGATATGTCTGAACGTATGTCTCATCCTGCAATTGGACTGGACTTGTACTGATTTAATGGGAGAAAATATATGTCCTGTGTTTCTTAAAATGTCATTAATTTAGGGGAAAATACAGAAAAGCAAGGATGGCTTTTAAGATGTCCTTCACAGAAGGGATAAATTGAGGACAGTGGCAACAGGACCACTTGACTCTCCGCCCACCCAGCAAGCTCACTCCCCTTCAGTGTGCGTGAGCGCACACACACCTGCGTGGACACGTGCCCATGCATACCCCCAGCTGCACACATCCTGGCTGCCTCTTCATTAGCTGCTTCGGCCTGTTGTTTTTTCCATTTCTTGATTCTGTTGGTTGGTTTCTGTTTTCCCTCCTCCTCTTCTTTTTCTCCCTGCTCTGTCTGCTAGAGAAACCCTTCTCTCGCCCACTTTACATTCTGATGAGCCTGCATGCCTCCTCACATTCTTCTTGTGGAAAAGAATTGGACCATAACTCATTGTGGAATCGGTGGCGATTGCCTCCAAATTGGCCAAAGGGGACACGGGCAGATTTTGAGAAATAAAAGGCCTCTCTTTGCCACAGCCCAAGAAGAAGGGCTGCAGACACATTTCGCCTGGTAATAAGAGTAGCAACTTTCCATGGAGCACAAAGCAAGAGTGTCAGTGGTTTCAATCCTGTCTTTAATTTTTGCGTATTTAATGCAAAAATATTTAGAGCTTGTTTTTTTCAGCCTAGACAACCATGTGTCAGGAAGCATTTAATGCAGTTAGAGAGAAGGAGGTATAGCAAAGCCTAAGATCGTGAGGTCGGGAGGACCGGTCCTCTTATGCTGGCCAGCCAGCCAGGGGCCTGGAATCCTTGGCCCTTTCCACGACAGACTGTTAGTTGATACCAATGTTGCCTGAGTGGTGTTCTCTCCCCATCTAATTGTTTCTTTTGATTCCTCTACAGGGAAACTTTGTGGCTTGTATGACAGCTATTTTACGACAAATGGAAGATTATCATTACGCCCATTTGATCAAGACTTTCGGAAAAATGAGGACTGATGTTGTGGTGAGTGTAAGAAGTTACACTTTTTCATAGTGTAGCCCTTTTCATATGACCCTTTTCATATGACCGTGTTTAGGGGCCAGCATTTTAGGCAAAACACTGGTGTTAGTATTTCCATTTTAAGTATGATTTTGAATGGGGATTTGGCTCCAATTGGTTTGAGAAACCACGTGGCAAGGGAAGCCATGTTTCTAAGAAGATGAGGGTCCCGACACATGGACTTACTCCCAACGCTGAACTGGGCAGTGACTCAGCGTGTCAGCCAAGAAAGAGCTTCCTTACGCTCTGGGATCACTGGAGATGTGGAGACCCTACCCATGGAGTGTCTTCCAGTAACTCCTGTTCACTTATTGATTGGCTTCTCAATAGCAGAAGCCAGAGAGTCTTTTCAGCTTTAAATTATACTCTAGTATTAATTAGCTCTAATCATGGGAGTTCATCAGCATTTCTCCAAATAATTCTCCAGTCATCCTCAGTACAACTGTGATACAGCTTAATTAGGAGAAGCATAATAGAGGGGAAGTTAGTGCTTAGGAACCACCTCCCTAACAACCTGAAATCCCATGGCCAGACGGCAGATGTCGTCCGTAAAGCTGTTGACCTAAACTCTGGGGTCTAGTAACACAGATTTCATTTCTGAGACCCTTAGATTCCTATAGGATCCAGCAAATGCTACTAGTGTTTCCAGAACAACATTGGTGACACTTTACATCATTATATCTACCTTACTAAGGGAGGGGAAGAAGAATGCATTTAATGATTATTTTCCAAAGGATTATTTCTAATAAAAGGTGTCCTTATTAATTGTTGCCACTCTGAGCGTGTGTGTGTGTGTGTGTGTGTATTTAAATTTCTAAGGAGACAAAAATGGGTCTACCCTTAATATCATAGCAGTTTTCCTTAAATTTCTAAGGAGACAAAAATGGGTCTACACCTTAATATCATAGCAGTTTTTCTTAAATGAAAGTGAAGGAACAAGAATGTATACGTGTTTGTGTCTCTGGGTGTTCAGTTCTTTTCAAAAATCTGGACTTGCAGCTTAAAGGAGGGGTTGCTCAGGTATATGATCTGCATTACACTGTATCCTATCATTCCTCAACAGTTACAGTGCAGTGAAATCACATTTGATATGTGGAATGTTGCATGCAACCAATGAAATCTTAACTGTATCCCTCAGCCCTGTTTGGGTCAGTGGAAGGGGAGTTGTAGCTGAACTTATATGAACAATTTCCTAGATGGCATTCCAGGCTGAATAATACAGTTTTCAGAATGAGAAGCATTACCCATCCTGAATACTTAGGGCTCCAATTAATCATTTACTCTTTATCAGAATAGTCCTATGATCCAAATCCACACATGCACACCATGAAAAATATTTCATCTGAACTATTAAGAGGTCCCGTTGGTAGGGAAGCTTTAGTGCCTTATGAAACGTGGTTCTACAGCATGATTTTTAAAAATGACTGTAATTTGCTGAATTCCAAGTGTGTGCCCTCTCTCCTTGCTTGGCACAGATGATCAGATACTTACTCCATGTTGTGGTCCTGATTTCCCGAGGGATTTTTTCTGTAGACACAGCAGTTCAGAAGATCAATTATTTGTTGACGATTTGATCTCCATTATAAAATGGCATTTGTGGTTTGGATATCATGAGTTCATATTGCAAGGATTGTAGACCCTTTTTATTGTTGTTAATCTGTCAGAACCTTTGTAAAATGTGTTCCTATCCATTAACTGTACATAGAAAGTATTTGACTATTTTTCTACTCTGACAAGCACTCACAAAAATGAGAGATCATTTTGTGTTAAATAATTGAAAGTTAGTTAGTACTGCGATATGAAAATGGCCCAGCCCATTTTCTCGGGACTACGTCCTTGTAACAAGCGCTGTTTCAGGTTTTCAGATTCAGCGCTTGTTTGGTTGGATGAGCGATTCCCATAGAAAACCTCAGTTACTGTCAATGCCAAAGTCATACGCCTCAGTGCTGTTACTTTTACAGTCTCTCAAATGGCCCCTTGGACCCCGGGCCAGGGAGAGGAGGGAGCACAGCGTAAGGCAGAATGATCCAAAAAAGAAAAAGAATGGACATGTATGGTTCCAGACTCTCAGGACAGAGCGCGCCTCAGGGTGACCTGCTGCATCCTCAGTGGGAGGAGGAGCCTTGTGCTGAACACGTCTATTTCTTGTGACCATTTCCTTATAAATGAAGCCATAGCGAAGGTACTGTCCCTGGATGATGAGTCTGGGGAGCGCAGAATCCTTTCTCAGTGAAGTCACTCAGTAATTACTTACTGAGCATCAGCTTTATCGTCGCACAGTGGAGGACGCAGTGGGCAAAGCAGACAGGCCTGCTCTCGTGACCCTGTAGTCTGGTGGAGAACATCACAGTTAATCAGGGAGTCCTTCCCACCAACCCCCATTGCCCATGTTGCAAAGGAATGGTCCTCATAAAGTAGCCAGACTGGACTGAGTCAGCTGGTGAGAAAGCCTTTGCGGAGGAAAGGATTGTGGGATATCGAGGAATAGAAGGAAGAGCCATGCAGGTAGGAGGTGGGGTGTCATGGACAGGTGGCTGTGCAGGGCGTGGGGGGTGGGAGGGGCAGCGAGAGGACCAAGGATGGGATGAGCCTGGACAGGGCCGTCACACCACACAGGACCCCGTACGCCATGCTGAGAAACTGTGTTCTTCGCTTGTTTGTTTTCAGCTTTTTACACCATTTGTTTGCTCCTCCTTGTTTTAAAATTATTTTTTCAAGCATTTGTTTTTTTGAATGAACTTTTTGAGATAATTGTGGTCACATGTGGTAATACCATATCCAGTTTCCCCAGGGGAAACGTCTTGCGGAACTATAGCGCTGGATCCAAACCGAATGCTGACATCGCTATGGTCCATGGATCTCATGTGCATTCCCCCAATTTTACTTGTACTCCTTCCCCTATTTGTCATGAAAAACTTCAACTGTACAGAGAACCTGAAAGAACAGTACGCTGGAAACTACGATTCCTAACACCCAAATCCACCAATTGCGAGCACTTCGGCATACCTGCCTCCTCTGTATCTCTCTTTTTCACTCACTGTGCAGCCAAATCCCCTAAGTGTGTGAGAAACATGCCTCTCCCTTAGTGGTTCAGCAAACCTCTCTCAAGAATTAAGACCTTCCCCAATGGCCTCATTGCCTTTCCAGAACATAACACACATAATCATCTATACTCAGATTTTTCTCAATTCTTCCCAGTCTTTCTTGTCTTTCATGAGGGTCTTCCTCAAATCAGGATCCAGTCCAGATTCACTCATTGCGTTTGGTTGTGTCTCCACAACCAAATCTGTTTTTTCTAGGACAAGTCCCTCACCCTGTCTTGTCTTTCTTCGTGCTGCTTTGTAATGGCTTTCGGCGTGTTCCTCTATTCCTCCATATGTCCTACAAACTGGAAGCTTGGCCTAATGTTCAAGCTCATCCTTTTGTCAGGAGAGCTTCAGAGCTAGTGTTAAGTGCTCCCTGTTTTGCCCACTGGGAGGGTGGGAATGCTGAGCTGACAGTTTGGTAGCTTGTTTGAGAGCGGCTACCAGCCTGATCTCCCCATTGTGAAGATACGTACCCCTTCACAATTGTCATGTGATCTTTGGCTCATGCTTTGGTATCCACAAAACGTTGGCCAGTGTCCAATCCCCTGACCATTCTTCATCTGATGGCTTTAGTATCTATTGAGGGTCCTTGTCTGAAACACTTTCTCCTTTGGCATAGCAGGATTTCCTTCAGATCATCGGGACACTTTGTCTTTAATCTACGAACATTGAGAAGCCCCTGGGGTTGTGGGTTAAATGGGAGGTTGTGAAGTGTTGGTGCCTTGGCCAGATTTGCAGTTTGAAAAGGCATTCTGGGTCAAGGGTGGGGGTCAAAAGGGACAAGAGTGGACATGGGCAGACAGGCCAGGATTCCCCTCAACAGTCCAGGTGAGAGAGGATGACCATTTATTTAGGTGGGTGGGGATGGGGATGGACAGAAGCAGATGGATTCACGACAAGAAGATTGTGCCTATGGATTGATGGCTATTGTTAGAGCTGCCCACTTATTATATGGGGCATCTTGTGAATAATCAAACTGAAAAATACAGCAGGAATGGATTGGCGCTGAAAGAGGAAATTTTCACAGAAGATCTTTTATTAGTCCTCTGTGTCCCCTTGTTGACTTGGAGATACCAGTGTAATAGTCTGCTGAGTCTCATCGACTGTGGTGAGGACCATCTCCATGGCTAGTAAATTATGCAGACGGACAAGGACGCCTTACAAAACCTCATCCTGCACAATATGCAGCGTTTTGTCTGATCAGCAAAGTACCAAAATTTAACAGCTGAGCCATACTAATGAAGTATGGGACTGTGTTTCCTAGAAAAAAAAAAAATAAGGGAGTTGGGAAAATATGCTTCTCTTCCAGAATAATAAAACCCAGACCCTGTATCTCAATTATTAGGCTTTGAGGAGTGATCAGCAAGAAAGGCAGCAATTTCATGCAAATAGAGATGTGGCTAAATTATGGCACTCAGCCGGCCAAATATGCAACCTGGTCATTAAAACGTGAAACTCTTGACAAAGTGGGAAAACTTAAGTGGAGAAATATGAATTGCAGTTATTAGCCTTGGGGAGGGACACCCCCCCGTTCATCATGTCTGGAGGCTCCCGGAGTGCTCCTGCCCTCCGTGAACTCGGGCTTGGCGGTCAGAGCTGGTATGAGCAGAGTCTGGAGGACATGGGGCTGACTTTTCTCTCTTGAAGAGGCCCAGGTCCTGATCTTCTCTTTGACTGGGGTCCTCTGCTGTAAAACGGGGATCACGGTTGCTCCCTGAGTTTTTATTCATGGTAGGGGGCACACAGTAGGCATGACTTGCCAGAACCCGGCATGGCTAGTCAGGTTGCAAAGAAAGTATTTAAGTTGGCCCATCAGCTTATTGATGCTATCAAATTTAGCTGCTGCCTTTTTGTGAGAAGCACTTGTTTACGACTTTGCTGAGAGTTGCTTTCTTGGCCGCTTAAATTCTGTACCCCACCTTGGGCTTCACAGCCGTTGCACCTAATTATGATTCCGTAGATTAAATAAATGAGAAATAACCACTCATTTGGCAATCTCTGACCGTGGCCTCATTTTTCTAAGTGAATCCTCTGTGGCTTTTCCCCTGCCCACCCCACAACTGGAGGGAGCATGCAAACTCCCAGGGAGGTGTGCTTTTCAGGGTAACCGCTAGTTTTGTTCTGCTCAGCTCAGAACAAGGGCCAAGCCGGCAGGTTCAAGAAATTCTCCAAATTCTGACAGGCACAGGGTGGAGCCACTAGGAAATGGGTACCCCTTCCTGATGCCACGAGCAGTCTTAGCAGCATGGAAGGAGCACAGGACGGCAGGGAATGACCCATGACGTGCAGAGGATCATGCCCAAGGTTGGCATAAGCATAACTGCATAGCTTGTGGGGTCGTCGCTGCCGTCTAAAAGCGGTCACATGACCGCCTGCTCCGATGGTTATGATGAAAAGAGCTGGTGCAGATGCTCAGGAGTTCCCGCTTGAGCCTTTTATTTGTAAATTACATAAGAAAATGGAATGGATGTTACTACCCCATATTCAACCTGCTATGCCCTGTTCCTAATGAAAAATAAGTTTAGAGTATATCCTACACGTTCTGTTTGCAAAATGTATGTTTTCCTATAAGCAGAAAGAATGCCTATTTGTAACCTGGAGATCTCCTCTTTATGACTATGACAGAGACCCGCCCAGGTCCTGTTCCCGAATATATCCCTGAAAAAGTTATCACAGGCAGAAGGTGCTCCGGCAAACAGAAAGAAAAAAGCTCCTGTAAAATACATCTTCATTACTTTTTAGAATGTTTTCATTCCGCTAAAAAAAATGAGGTCATTTATACTGTAATTATTCCAGAGGGGATTGGTTTTCTCCTTTTTCTTGGTGGGCTGTTGCAATGTTCTGTTTTGTTTTTGTTTTTTATTTCAGGATTTCCTGATGGAAACATTCATCATGTTTAAGAACCTCATTGGGAAGAACGTCTACCCTTTCGACTGGGTGATAATGAACATGATGCAGAATAAGTGAGTATAGGGAGAAAAGCTCCCACCTTTTACAAGGTGTCTAATTCATGTCTGCTGGGAACAGTGGTGTTGCCTGGATACCATGGGGGCCCTCCTACAAAGAACACATCCTGCCATTCTGTGATGCAAACAGTTGTTTGGAGAAACAGACCTGGAGATTGGGTGATTTCCTTATGCCAGCGCGGGGCTCTGCCTCCTGGAGAAACATCGAGCTGAGCCCTAGCTCAGCTGAGCCCTTAGCCTTGGTCTGGGACAGCCTCTGTCAAGGGCACGGTTTGCCATCAATTTGCCGTCTCATTTTAACCACATGTTTTTATTAGCCCCAGTGATTCTCACTCTGTCTCAGTTTTTGAAAGGTATTTGCATTTCTCCTATTTCAGCTTTAAAAAGTGAGCATTTTCTTCGTACTTATTAAATATTAATCTTGTGCCTTGTTTATCATTTCCCTGTGAAGGCTATTGGTTAACTTTCCAGCACTTGTGTTCTATAATTTCGGTAAGCACCAACAACGATCATTGGGTTCTCAATCGCATGTGATTCCTGGAGAAATTCCCGTTGACCTCCTTTTTTCCCCTCTCCTTCCTTATTGCATTTTTTATGGAGATAATTGTAGATTCATAGGCATTGCGGTTATAGAAAGAAATACGGAGAGATCTGTATACACTTTACCCAGGTTCCCTTAGTGATAACATTTTGCAAAAGTAGAGCTCCATGTTGCAGCCAGGGGCTCGATGTCAGTAGGATTCATGGGGGTTATACAGATCTTCCTGCTGTATTTGTGCTTGGCCATGGCGCCTCTTCTTGAATCCACCAACACAAGGGTCCCTCTTGTTGTCCATGTATAACACCTCCTCCTCGCCCCCACACCTCTACCCTCGAGAAACCCGGGCAACCATTAATTTTTCCTCCACTTCTAAAATTTTGTCATCTCAAATGTGATGTATAAGTGGAATTATACCGAATGTAACATTTCAGGATTGGCTTTTTTCACTCTGCTTCATTCCCTGGAGATTCATTCAGGTTGCTGGGTGCATCGCTAGTTTGTTCCTTTTGATTGCTGAGAGGCGTTCCATGGTATGGATGTGCTACGGATGGTTTAACCATTCACCTGCCGAAGGACATCTGGGCTCTTTCCACTTTGGGGCTATTATGAATAAAGCTGCCACGAACATTTGCATACAGAGTTTTGTGTGAACATAAGTTCATTTCTCTGGCATAAATGCCCTGGGGTAGAATTCTAGGGTTGTATGCTCGCTCCACGTTTAGGTTTATGGAAACTGCCTGACTACGGCTGTATCATTTTACATTCTCACCAGCAGTTTGAGAGTGATCCTGTTCTTCTGCATCCATGCCAGCATTTGCCATGGTCACTATTTTTCATTTTAGCCCTGGTGGTAGAGGTGTTGTGTGTCTCACTGTGGTCTTGGTTTGCATTTTCCCTGATGCAGCAAACGATGACTTGCCATGTCATTAAAGAAATCATAGTCCTGGTCACAGTGCTGACCAGAACGAAAGGCAGGCCCTGGTGCAGGGTGCAGACTCTGTTCTCTACCTTGTGACACCACATGTGAACTTGACCTGCATCTTTCCGACAGAGTGGCCGCTGCGGCCTGGCACCCAGCCTGTCCATTCCACACCCTGGGGGGGGACCTTCAAAGGTCAGATGTGATTCACACCTCCAAGTGGTTTGACTCTGTGCCTCTGATCCCAGGCGTCCCAAGGAACGTACAGCCACAACCTGTTGATTTATGCTATATTATGATGAGTGAGAGTCTGTTTTCAGTTTTGACATGATGATCGCCTTACTCCTTCTTCCTTCTATTCCATCATCGGCCTCCTGCTACCAACCCTGATGTGTCTGAGCATCACCCCAGACCCGCATGTGGGTGAAAGCCACGTGGCCTTTGGTTCAAAGTGTGGAGCACTGTGGTCAGGGTCCCCTTCTCTGGACATTCTGTCCAGCTTCTCCCAAAGTGTTCTGTTGTTTCTTCAGTGAGAAGGTGGCTTGACCTGTGGTCTCCAGAATTGCGTGTTCCCTGCACGTCAAACCAGCCTTGTCCCTGTGTCCCGGCTCACTAGTGCAGGTCTGCAGGGCCTCGCCGTGTTACCGAGACACAGGTGTGTGGTGGCATCTGGGACCCAAGCCTTTGCATCTCGCCACAGGGAGGAGAATTCTTGTTTGGGGGGCAGGGAACCTCTACGAGGGAGAAGCCACATCCGCTGTGTCCTCATTGCAAGCACTAGGATGGCTACTTCTGAGGATGAAGTCTGGTGTCGGTGATAATAGAATTCAGGTCTGAAGCAGGGAGTCCATCCTGTTCTCTTGTTTGGAGGCTGCAGCTCCAAGCGCCAGCTTGCTGAGGGACACACTGTGAATATAAACTCCCCGTGGTCTATGTCGTACATAAAATGTGGTACAGACGTGTCTCAGCTAAAGTCCTAGTGCTCTGGGGCCGAGCCATCCAGCCGATACTGCTTTCCTCTGCAAGAGCTTTTCGAGGCTGCGTGGTGTGTGTGTGTGTGTGTAAGTACACGCGTGGTGCACGTGTGTACGTGTCCATGAGCGTGGGGGAGTGTTGGCACCAAGTGAAGGCACTTGGATTTGCGGAGATTCTGGCTGTGCGAGGCTCAGAGCCACCCAGGTTCCTGTCACAGGTGACACATTCCGTAGGAACAGGGTCCCAAGCCAACGTGTGTAGCAGACGAGTGAGCTGCGAAGGGCGCGTGTAGGTCAACATTCGCGCAGCAGTGACTGTAAGCTTCATTCTGGAATCCCACTGCCCCAAAATGCTGCCCCCTCTGCTGAGTGAACAATATTGGTTTTTAGAAGCTGAATCAGTTGGGTCTTGGGAGAAAAGCTTTTACCTCTGTGCCAGCAACCAGCTAAAACTTAAAGCCATCCCAAGACATCTGGGTTCGTGACCCTTCAGTCTTCTTTAAAGTTCTTGCTTAAGTGCCACCTTCAGAATGAAGAGTTTATTTCATTTTTTAGTGAATGCAGTCATTCTTTGCAATGTGTTCTGTGTTTGCATCCGAGGACTACAGATGAGCATTTGACACGCTTGCCGTGTGCCCGGCGCTGCCGTGGGGATAGCTCCGGAATCATGCCCATAATCCCTGCAGCTGTACTCTGAGACAGCTGGGTTTTTGTGCCCATTTTACAGATGGGGAGATTGAAGCCTCAAGGTTTGGTAACTTGCCAAAAGACACACAGCTGGGCAGTGATAAGGCCAGTGATAGGGCCAGTCTTTAAATCATTAAGATGAGCCAGTCTTTAAACCCTCTAAACCATCCTGCTGCCTTGAATATGTCTCCTGTTCTTCATAGAGAGTGTTGTTGTTTTTAACCCTGGTGTCCTTCGAGTGCACCTTTCCTGGGAGATTTCCTGCTTCCCTACTGAATGTTAAGCGTGGAAGTCAGAATCTTCTTACTCGGCTTTCTTTGCCGTGAAAAGTATATGCTGTTAAAGAGGATATCATTTATTGCTGAAATTATAATAGAGTCCTGCTGTAAACTTCTAGAAGAACAAAAGCTCACTATCAGTGTAATAAAATAATTTCCTATAGAAATTACATAGATACCATATAGCATTGTCTCTGTGTTGTTATCCGTTTTTTTTTTTTTAAATCTATTAACTTCATTGCTCAATACTTTACGTGTCACCAGACTTCCATGCTCTTCCTCTTCCTGGCATGTGTCGGAGACCTCCTTGCTTCCATAGGATAAGCAGTGATTCCCAGAAGCTTCCAGGAGCCTGTATTTTAGTTTTAATGGCACAGCTGGACATGCAGTTTTACCATCCACAGCTTCGAAATCGACAGACTCAGCCCCTGTGGTCTCTTAAATATTTGTGTGCTTGTTCTTCTTTGTGTCTGCAAGTGTACCATCCTTCAGTACGTGGGGCTTGTCCAGTGTAATTAAAGATGGCGCCTGTCAGTTCTGGAGCAACCACTTGTAAATCAGGAGTCAAAGTTAGAGGATCCAGTGAATGTCACCAGGACAGGAGTTACTTGGATGCTGTGTTCAGGGTAGTAACTGAACGGTGATGGCCTGACATAGCTCTGCTCTTGGATATGATGGTGCCAGATGGTAAGATGACATTTAAGATGAGCACAGTTCACATCGCGTAGAAGTGTGCTTGCGTGTTATCTTCCAGAAGTGCTTTATAATCTTCCCCGAGGGAAGCAAAGGCTAAGTCTTCATGTAAGATCTGATCTGTATTGGAAGCAGAGACCTTCTCTGTTAGCCTTTAAGTGCTAGTACCCATCCTTGAACTCCTAGGAGCCAACTTTCTCAGATTTATGCTTCGTGGTGTGCGCAGCAGAGTCTAACACTGAAGACTTACACGGTGGCTGTTACAGAGTTCTCTCTGCTTGTTGGCAGAAGTGTGACCACTTGGTTGCGTTTCTGTGTCTTCTAGTCTTAGCACTTGAATTCATCCCAGTAGTGTGTTTGTACACTAAAAATCCCAGACTAGAATTTTAAGGCATAGGCGTGATCTGGGAGGCCATGAGTCTACTCATTGGTTTGACTGAATTCCTTTTTCACCTTGAAGAAAGCTTTTGTTAACTGCCATGATTTCACTCGAGAAAGGCACTTCTACAATGTACGTTGGGTGAAGAAAAAGGGCAGTACGGAGTTTAATTTTCAGATTTTTAAGATTAGACTTTCTAACTCATACTGTGTATAACATGGACCAAAACCCTTCCTACATTTGTCAATCATTTCGTCTTGCAACAGAATTTTAAAAAAATTCAGCTACCCCGATTTGGATTCTCACTAGGCTTTGTTGCTTGTGTCCCTCTCTCCGGATAAAAAAATAAATGAAACCAACATTTTTACTTCCTCAGATCACTCAAAGCTTGCAACAGTGATTATCCATCATTTTTAAATGTTCCTCCGTATTAGCGCAGATTTGGTATCTGGTGCTTTTTGCTTTCTTACATGTTAAGCTGGGGCCTATTTATGATTTGTGATTTATATCCTACACACTTTCTTAT